ATAGTGAACACACTCAGGATGTTCAAACGAAGCCCAAAGTCCAGCCAGGAACTGTTCATGTGCTGGAACAAACATCTGGAGGATAGGGGACCCAGGACTAACGTGGTCAAATATTCTGACCAACTTAAACCAAACTGTAATCAATAACTTTACACTAAACAAACAACTGCAAGAGGGACAACTGGCATCTTCAAAATGAGTACACTTGCAGGAAGTGCAGCAGTAAACAAGGCTACTTACACTTTTGTGCAAGTGTGTATGCAGAGTCTGACAGAGAGCTAAGGGCACACAGTGCTTTGTACCAAAACCACAGTACCCACCTCTCTGAAGCCTGATTGAATGGGAGGCTTGAAAGTTCATGTAAAAACTAGTCCAAGCTTCCTGCCACGATTTCCTTTTCTACTTCGATGGTTGCAGAATATCAGGCTCACACAATGACATCATGGCTTTCAGGAAGAAAAAGAGAAGAGAAAGGTCATAGTGTACATCTGAGGTAAGGTTTTCAGAAGTGCTCTCTAGACATCAGTCTGTTTTTACTCAGCAGATGATTGTTAACAGGGTTTGCAGAGACTGGTCACAATGTAAGATTTGTCCAACCTTATCGATAAAACCTGAAGCCATGAATATAGAAACTATTCAAATTCTTGAAGTCAGTGACTACTAGCAGGCCATGTTTACTTCTACCCAGAAACAGAAACCACTTCATCATCTGTATAGCTGCAGACAGTTTCTTGGTTGTTGTTGCCTAGAGTAAGGAGCTGAACCTGTGAACACTGTTCCCTGTTGCCCTGCGAGCAGATCTTTGCTGCACACTGAACCTAACTTTTCTTGAGGCTATTTTCAATTATATAGCAAGGAAGTTCCCAACAGAACCTGATCAAAGCTACCAAGTAAGATGCAACCAGAGAAACAGGACTGTCCTCTGGAAATCTCAATGGCTGTACTAAGTGAAAAGCAAGAATGTTGATCCGTTATTTCTGTACTATGCCCACTCAAACAGCAATGAGCATGAGTAGCACCTAGATCAGAGTATCCACTTTGTGCTCTCCTCAATGTTAACAAAGGCCTCTTAATATTTTAATGCTTTTCCTGTGCTTGGCCCTAGATCTCTAGGCACATCCTCAGTGCTCTTATTTACATGCACTTGTAAGACACTGCATCAAGAATGTGAGCACAAGGCAAGCCCCAGCAAGCAGTGTTCCTACATTCATGAATGCCAGTGCGTGGGTGTACTGCAGGAGAAAGGGTAGCAATGTGCAAACAAGGGAGTATGTGGGTAGATGGAAAGAATGGGTACAGCACAGAGAATGAGACAGACAGTACTTCCATGTTCGCTAGTGTGAAACAGATGTAGGTGGGTGAGATGTTTATTAAGCAGAATAGCATTAAAATAGAAACACAAATAGGAAAGAATGAATATAAGGGCAAGAGAAAAAAAAATAAAGAGAAGGTATGAGAATTAACAAAGATGCTACTAGGTAAGTGAACACAAGAAAACAGAAAAGGAAATACAAGACTATGAGCAAGAACTCATCTGGGATTATTATCCTCACTGATAAGAAAAAATTGTTGCAATCAAGATGGTCAACATATATTGTCTAAACTAGCTGGCAATTAATAGTTAATCCCTAGAAAAAGAACAGGCCAGAACAACTGACAAATTCAGCAGCTTTGATATGATATAGCTATTTTCTCTGTTTTGATACTTTGGCTTTTCAATTTTCCTCATAATTTGCTTTCTGAAAAGCATGTCCAGCTCAACTGCTGAATGAACAAAGCAATAATTGATTCCTAGATAGCACGTGCCCTCGTGACACTAAAGTTGTTCTGCACCCATACACGTGGCAACATAAGGAATTCAAAGGAACAAGGCCATACCAGAAGCCATGTTAACCAGCCTGTTCAATGTATGCCTCAGTTACCTACTCGTCTCAGTGTCTCACCTATCTGGGCAAGGAGTCTCTTTCAGGCTAGATGAGACCATTCATTACAATGAAACTGCAGAGAGTTTCCCCAGAGTCTGCACCCACATCCACCCTCATGAGACCACAGTTTGAACTGATGCACACAGAAGTTACACCTTCTTCAGGGTGATACCAGATGACATCTAGTGGAATATCTATGTAATAAGAGGAAGGGTATGACAGGTTCAATCATGTAGTTTTTCAGTGAAACAGCATACCTGGTTAATGACTAAGACCTTCCACTCCTATGTGCTTTCAATATTCTGGAAAGGGAAGTAGAAACATAACATTCGAAACATAACATTCTGGGTATCAAGCTATGAAAGAATGGTAGTGGAAAGCAGCTGACTCAGAGAAACAAGTTGTAAAGTCATATTTGCAACAAGTTTAATGAAATAGCAACAAGCTTGAATGGTAGCAGTCCTGCTGAGAGTAAGAAGATACAGTCCTCGCAGTGGCTGGGAGGCACGGTGATGTCAGGCAGGAACATACCCTTAGCCCTTCAGGGTCCCTCAGCCTTTGAGGGCTTTCCAGCCAGCCAGATTCTCTGGTTTTACAGTTTCCCTGCACTGATCCAAGGACAGATTTGCCAGCAAGTCAACCACCCAATGCTAAGGCACTCAGGCAATCCTATGTGCCTGCAGATACCCATTAAATTTCAAATGGTGCTTTACTGCTTGGTCAAGGATACAACAAAACTGCAGACAGGAAATAGGCAACAAATCCTGCACCTAAATATCCTCCCACTGTACAAGTCAAGAGGAGGTTTGGAGAATTATTTTCTTCAGCTTAATAGTAAAAACAAACTTATGGAAAAAAACACAAAACAAGTTCATTTCAATTTTAAGCAATATTACAGTATTTTTTTAATGTCTGTAATATGTAAAAGAAAATATTTAAACACAAAATCACTGGTTACTGATACTCAGTCACTCCACAATTTAAATTTACAAAGATATGATCACATATACGGTGTCCTTATAATGAACATCACTTGTTGATAGAAAAAAGCCCTAAATAGTTCATTATCATTCATTTTAATACTGAGATTTTAGATGACCTACCCTTTAATGCCAATAAAACTTATTGCAAAAATAAGATATATTTAAGCTTTTTCAAAAGAACTTGCATATGTATACACACAAGGTTTTTACAAAATATATGTAAATCAAATAGTTAAATACTGGTTCAAATCACAGGTGGAGACTATCAACTTATTGGGATTTTCATTATGTAACTTTTCCAGAGTCATATTTATTCATGGTGGTTTGTAAATATATGTAAATCAAATAGTTAAATACTGGATCAAATCACTAGTGGAGACTATCAACTTATTGGGATTTTCATTATGTAACTTTTCCAGAGTCATATTTATTCATATGGTGGTTTGTTTGTTTTTTTTTTAATTTAAGTAGTTCTGCAAGTAAGAGTCTTTATAGCCATTTTTAGCTTGTCAAGTTCAGGCCAAAGTTACTTCCCTCAGATGCTTTTAGTATATACCTGCTTGTATGTGCAGGCATTAGCAGCATTATTTTTGAGGAGGCATGTGAAAAAGTTGGATCATCTCACTATTGCGATTACTTGAATAATCAACTCAAGTTACATTCAATAGATATTTGCCCCTGCCCATTCCTATTATAGAAATGGAACAAAATGCTCTAAAAACCTGTGTGAAGGTATGAAGAATACAAAATAAGATTTAATGAAATAGCAGCCATAGAAAATAGATCACATTGTGATATTTGTCCCTCCATTTCCATAAGCACAGGCCAGGTCCCATGGGGAGTTCCTTACAGGCAGGCTCTCGTGCTGCCCTGCTCAGACACCAGGTTCTGCTGTAGGTATGCACACCACACGTTTCCTCCCTAGCAGAATCATTACTGTTGGAAAACGGATGTACATCCTTCTACACTAGGCCTGTATACCAGTAGGGTGAGCTGCAATAAAATAAATGAGTGTACTATATTATTGTAGGCTCAAACGTCAATTTAAGTTCAAATACTACACAGTTCATGCTTTACCTAGGAGGCATTGTAAGACAAAAAGAAAGATGAGTCAAACCAGAGAGATAAGATTGAAAGAAACATTGCACACTGCACACAGATGGGCTGTCAGGTGGAGCAGGGAGAAGGCCAACCTTTCCCTCCTGACACAGTCAGTCTGTGCCTTGTAGACACTGGCAAACCCCCAGAGATCACAACTCACAACTACCCCCAGAAAGGACAGAAAGCCCTCTAGAAAGACTTCACCCCCCCTGCCCCGTGACTAATTTACAACAACTAGTGCTTACTCCCAAAGCCCCAGTATCACTACAAACAAATCTACCACTGGCATGAACAGAGCAACTTCAGTACTATTGTACTGCACGGCTGCTTTGAAACACTTAGCTAGAGAAGAATAAGTGAAATGTAAATAACTTGAGTCTCAATTTAAAATGAAGCCATAACCTGGGCGACAGCTATGAGAAAAGTGACAGAGGACCTCATACAAATTTAAAGAAAGTTCTGCTCTAACATCACTCAGATGGTGTACAATACCAAGTTAACCAGTTAGAAGCACATAAAAGCCTCACACTAATGGGTCAGAGCAGAAAATAAAGGCTCTCCCACAGCAATCCAAAGTACTTGCTTCATAATGCTGCTTGTAAGAGCATGAAACTTGGTTTTAGTGCAAGGGTACTTTTGCCTTTCGTCTCATTTCAACATGGACTTTAGATTTCATATAAAGAACTTTGATAAAGAGATGGAAAATATTAGTCACAAAACTTGGACAATACATGCACGATTTCAATGAAGTAAAACACAGCTTCATTTCATTACAGCTGATCAACAGAGATGCAAGATAATTTCAGAGCAAACAGCCTCTATCACTGGTGCATCTGAACTTTTTCTCATAGAAACCACAGCCACTGTTTGCCTGTGGTATGTATAAGAAAGGAGTCCAGCACTAACACGAGCAGCATAGACACAGCCAAAGTGTAGTAAGAGCTTCTACACTAAAAGAAAATAATGAAGCAAAAACATAGGTCAAGGAATTTGGAAAATTATCCCTATAAATGCAAATACTAAGTGAAACTTCTTAATCAAGAGAAACTATCCAAGAAGAGTTTCTGTAAGTATGAGGTTTTGTACTTCGAAATATTAACAGAAAAGTATAGTATAGGCAGGGAAACACCTCTTTCTCTTGGCATGTAAAGTTATCTCAGAATAGCAGAGGCATGCATTTTAGAAATGTTTCTGATGTATAAACAACTTTATCCCTATTTATATATGAATATTTTGTGTAATACTCTTAGTACAAACTAAGCTGAGTGACATTACAGAAGGCAATTAATTATAACTTTTATATAGCTGTTTCTCTCTGAAGGCTCTGCTGAAACCTATGCTGTGTACCAAAAACTGTGACATTAGGTGGTTTACAGATTCACTGGCACAGCATAAGGGTGCTGGAAAAATCAAAATGTATGTTGTAGTTTGAAAAATGAAGAGATCTTATTCTTTGATCTACCAAAGCAGTTTTCCTGATATTTTTCCAATATAAAATATAACAACAGTTAAACAGTCATTTCCAGATCAGTACTGCTTATATCTTTTACAGATGTGAATAATTTCAGGACTTAGATTCATTTATTATCAGACAGGCAATTCCTTTTCTCTGAAAGTGTTGTAATCAAAAAGAAAGTCACATGGTTACAAAACCTGCAGGAAGCGCAGATCCTACATGCTAAAGAACTTGTGGCCTTGATGCAACAAAACCTTACAATGAGCAAACAAAAAGGATACTACATGTTATTTATATGTATCAGGAGAAAACAGCTCCCATGACCCAAATCTAGTTAGCTGAACACTGCAAAGCTGTATTAAGTAGTTAAGATGTAGATGGGCACTAATGTAGGAAAGTCACAGGCTGCACTAGTGAAGATTAGCCAGTTCAAAACTGACACAAATTGCTCAAGGGCATGTTGTAGCTTTGTGTACTATTCCTGTCTTATTTTAGGACTAAGACTATTGCCAGCAGAAACAAGCACCATTAGACTCCTGAAGCATCGACTATGCTTCAGTGGAAAGAAGACATTCCAAAGAAGCACTGAAAAAGATAAAATCAGCATGCTCTGTTCCTCGGTCTATTAGGAAATGTTTCTAATATAAAACATAAAAAGAAGAGAGAGAACCACAAAGCCCTGGATGTATGCTTGGCAAATGTGTGTACTCAACAAGCCCTGGGAAACACTATTTGCTTAAAGCCTCTAACTCAAATCAAAATGGTTCCTCAGAACAGTAACATTTCCTTATACAAATGTGACTTCATGCAGCAACCACCTGAAGAAAAAAAATTACTGATTGACACTTTGAATTTAGATGGAAGTAGCTGAACTAGATTACTTAATATTGCTTCATCTAATATTTCTTGAGCATTTCTGTATGGTAGGCAACCTTCATTAGCTTCTTCAGGTTTCAGAAAAGCCCCAAAGGCTGTATTTTGTTTATATTTCAGTGAATAGAAGACTAACAATTGCAACATGAAAACCCAAAATAGAGGGCATTGGGTTAAATAGTCTAAAATAAGGTGATAAGCGATAACCATATACCAGAATTTAAATGCATAACTTTATCTTAAACATGGAATATTGTGTAGTTTTAAAAGATTGCTTTTAGGCAGAGGGTGAGATGAGTAAATACTAGTGAAATGAATAGGCAAGTGTAGAGGAAGTCATACAGAAACCAAGCAGAGAGCACAGTTCAGAGAATTCCATAACAGTAGGAACCGCGCAATGGCCACTGGCAATCCTACAGGCTGTGGGGAGCCTCAGCAGCAGGAGTTGCAGTATAGCAGTCAGGCAGTTATGAAGTTTCAATATCCTGTAGGAAATCTGCTGGGTAAGACTCTTGTATAATACAAAATGGGATATAGATGCCAGGGAAACAAGGAAAATAAGACTCAAATTAAATGCAATCATTTCACAGGTTCAGAACGCTGGGAGATACAGCCTTGTTCTGTGTTTTATTCTGTGTTTCAGTTTGAAGAAAAAATTGGTTGTAGGAGTAATATGTGCCAGTCAAACCCAAACCTGAAAAAAATCTGAGAGTTTAAATAAATAATGTATAAGACTATTATTTTTATTTCAGGCGGGTATATATAAACTTACCCACTGTTCCATGTAAACTTTTCAAAGAATTTGGCATCTCTTGAAAGTCAAAGGAGAAGTAGTAAACATACTGCAGGTCACAAGATTTTTTTTTAATTTTGTTTTTCAGACAAACATATTCTTGACTGCCTTATTCCTAAAAAAAATTACACCCTTTCTTATGGATATCATCTCTATTAAAAAGCAAGTTTAATACCAATTTTTATTGACTTTGAGATGTTTGCTGGACAAGTATCAATGTTAATCTCAGACACTTAACAAGTTACTCAGCATTGTCCAGTTTACATTGAGCTCTGATCCCTGATCCAGCTCACCCTGAACTTTGAGGGAAAAGATTCCTGGTTTCCTTTTGCCTTGGGTCAGGCTCAAACTTGCAATCTCTTTTCACAATTGGAGAAGCTAAGAGGGAGAATTATTAACACTTCTATTTTTCCCTAAGAGATATCCATTGGACTGCTTGATTTTTTTTTTTTTTTAAGTTTTTGCATGTTACAGAAATATATTTTGGTCTAATGGTTCAGCCATGACTCATAGATAAAGATTAGATGCATAAAATAAGAATACCGCTAGAACTGGTAGCACTGCTATATGGAGACTGAATTATAAGTGGAATTTAAGATAGCCAGGACTGAGCACAGCAGGTTTAAAACTTACCTGTTTTCTCTGTTTAGGAGAATGAGTCCAAATATTTGCTGGCTTTGCAAGATTTCAGAGTAGAAGAAAATGGGATCAGTTCTAAGTAAGTAACAGTAAGATTCTTATGTTCTGCAGTACATGCAGCTGTCTGAGTAGGAAGGACAAAAATCTCAAAATTCACAGTGGAAGTTTTCTTTGCAAGCTTAAGATCATGCAAAAGAGTGCAACATCTTCACAACTGCCCCAGCTGACCACCTTCATATAGCCAATTCCTTTACAGTACGTGAAGTGTAGACCGACTTTTCTCTAGTGGAAGGAGGGTATATCCCAGTGGGAACTTCTTTTATATTAAATTGGCATAAGCTTAAACTAATCCCTGGATTAAGTCCAGATTTGGGCCTGCGAAGAATTTGTAAGCCCAATATTTTGGGTCAATCCTTTAAAAGAATTCAGACTGTTGGCAAAGGTTGAATACACATGTGGTGGACAAGAGACGCGGCCAAGTGCCTCCTCAAGTCCTCAGCTGCCACCAACCTCAGTGGAGGCCAACCATAGCTAAAACTTTGGTCGGCATGTCACATCAGGGTGGTGAAATGCTTCCATCCACACGCCTGCCAACTGGTATCAGATCATAGATGGTATTGATTTATTGATTAGAGAAAAATGTGTCCTCCACAGCAATACTGAGGTGTGTCTGATGACTCCTGAAACTGCCATTTGGGTGAGGTTAAGTGGCAAAAATACAGTCAGCATTTCCACAAAAGACTCCTGAATGAGGACTTCTCTCCCACACGGCAGTGGCCCAGGGAAGCCCCTTAGACTGGAGGGGGTACAATAAGGGAACAATAGCTCCACAAGACACTACAAAAGCATTTTCCAATTTAAACTTTGGAGTCCCAGCTATAAAGCCTTAGTTATTTTGGGGGAATACTCAATTTTTTTTTTTTAGTGTCATATATGTTCTTCAGCAAAATCAATCATGTTGCAAATCAGTGCAGCAAGTTTACTGTCAGCACAGCAGCTATGAAAGTGGCGTTAATACAGATCCTAATAATCCACGTTCACATTTCCTTTACTGCCTTTCATATTTTCCTGATTTTAAAAGGAAAGTAAAAAGGTAAAAAGGTTTTCCTCTGTGTCAGCTGCCCCATCAGGCAGCTTGCTTTCTGCTTCACAGATTAATGCTAAAGACAAATAATCAGAAATGGAAATAAGATGGCCCTACTGATGATGCTCAGTGAGACAGACAAGATTGTCACTTGTTCTATATAGAAGTGCTATTGCTGACAGAGGTGAAAAATTATCTGCATCAGTAACCGTGAATATGACTCAGAAGCAGCTCTTAAGGAAAAAAAAAAAGCATTAGAAGGACTAGACATTCTCACTCCCCATAACCACACGCTTCATGAGTTTATACAGAGAGGAGGCCAGTAGCTCATGAGAAGGAAAAAAAAAAATCTTTTACTGGCAAGAGTTACTACAGAATTATTGACACCACAATTTGATAGTGGTAAAATTTCTATTACTATATATTTCTCTGATCAGGTCAGACTGATCAGGAAAGCCTGACAAAATAATCAGTGAGTCACAGCATGTACTCTTTCAGAGAAAGAGAGAATTATATCAAGTTAAAAATAACTGCGTGATCATCAATTAAAAAAGCTACAAAGCTACTAATGGCTGTTGTGCAGCAGAAATCTATGAAGCAGTCATGCCAAAGCCAATTTTGCTGTTAATTTAAATAAAAAAAAGTTCTGTGATACTAAGTAGCTGTTGTCAAAATTGTAGCTCATATGAAAACAAAATACTCAATGAGAAGGGATCTCCTCCCAAGTTTGGCTGATGCATAATGGAAAGCACCCACTGGAATACATCCCTTGTGTTTTCTTCTACTAATATAAGCATAAGCATTTTTTCCAAGTTACCAGCACTGATGTCCTATAACTGCAATGCTTAAAAATCAGTTGGTGTAAATGGAGCAACTTGCACTTAAATGGTGCTATTGGCCCTTAAACATTTGTTTTTCGTTAAATTGTTTAGTCTCTCACCTCACCACTTCCATACTCTTTCCCAGAATCAGGCAGGAGACTTCTACAAGCTTATGAAATTATTGCTTAAGAATAGCAAACATGAAAGAAAGAAATCCGATTTTAGTCACCTCCAAGAACTGCCTTACAGATTAGTAATAATGTGTCATACTGCATTGTAAACAAATGGAGAGAGATGGGAGTCCCTTACAGCTAAGATTGTATTAACCTTTCATTATTTACCTCATGTTCAGAGCTTATATTCAGCTCTCAGCTGATAAGTCCACTTAGATGTTAAAGGCCTTTAAATGTTACAATAAGATCTTGAGCCCTTAAAGACTTTGCTACTAAATACAAACATCAGTATTTCATAAACAAACTATATAATGATTCCTGTCCCAAAGAAGTTGCTATCTAGAAAGCTAGTACTTTCCTTGTGCTTCTCCTTAGCACAATTGTGAATGGCACATAAGTGAATGCCATTTCCAAAGGAATTACAAGGGAGCACCTTGAGATGGAACTGTATTTATTACAGCAAGAGGAATATTTGCTTCGGCATAGTAAGCACGAGATCCAGGACACACAGAAAAACCTCTTTAAATGTAAGTTTCATAGAGATCTTATTTAAATTAGGGGACAGATTTTCAATAATGTAATTTCATTTAATTTTTTATACTTTTAACCACAGTTAATCCTACAATAATCTCCTTTTTTCTAACGAGTGTCTTTGGACGAAGTGCTACAATAGTCCCAGTCTTTTGAAAAGCGGATAACAAGTAAATGTAAGTAATTGTATGTTTGTATCCCAGATGGATTACTGAAAAAAGTTCCTACAAAGCAAAATCAATAAATCATGCATATAATGTATGCTGTCTCATACGCAACTAATGAAAAACAACTTCGTGTGACATGCTTAGCATGCATTACACTGAACATACTGTAAATGCTTTCCCAAACTTGCCATTTCTGCAGGCACATGTAATTCTTTTAAAGGCTTGTGATAAGGGCAGGTTTATCTGCCATATCCCCACTTAGAGCACTGTATCACAATATGTGTTAGAAGAAAGTGAAAGAAAAGTTGACTGGAAAATCCTGTGTATGGCAAACACACCATAGCTAATGGTACATCTATACAGTGTAATACCATGGAAGGTAACTCAGACCCTCATCTCAGGTATGGGAAGAACTGTAGCTGCAGTAGCAAATCTGTAAGTTTCCCACTCCAGCATCCCCCACCTCATTCAGACTTCAGAACTCATCCACATTTCTCGTATGGCTGGCAGTCTGGAATGTCACTGCTGAATTACTTTTTTTTAAATATTGATGAGAAAGTCACGTACAGAGTTACAGCACAGCACAAACCTCTAAAAATGATTCCTAAGGGCTGGCATTATTTTCAAACTACAGACAAAATACAAAGAGCAAGAAGATTAACAGACAGAATTTGTAACAACTATAAAGAAAAAGATTTTGCCATTAAAATCTTTAACAGCAACCAACCTCGTGTGTTACAGCTTGCAGGGAAAGCATAGGAAGAAAGTGCACAACGGCAAGCATTTAAAAGACAAAATTATAGCACAAGCAGCAGGCATGCATGCTATCACCGTTACTGCTAGATGACAGGCAGTGCTCAATGTCTTGAGCCCAGAGTGCTGCGCCAGCAGGAAAGCTTGCTTTAAGTAAAATGCTTGTAGCTTCCAGCAGTACTTGCATGCTGCCCTTCTTAAAATACCTCGTTCACTGCACTTAAATGGCACTATTCATTGATTTTGAATTCATTTAAATGCTTAATGACATCAGAAAATGCAAAGGTGTTCTCACATGAAAAGCCAGAAACACTAAAGCCAATGGATTTGCAGTTCTTTATGAAAGATACTTTATGAAAGTATTTGCCTATCTTAGGTTTTACTCTGAAAGTACATCTTACAACTGCAAGCACCATTCCTGCTCAAGTGCTAGCACTGAGTGAAGCCTCATAAATGTTCTCCTGGCTAGAGGCATTTTAGCAAGTCTATCACCTGATCCTGTACAAAGCAAGTCTAATGACATGACAAAAGGCAGCCTCAGGAATTTAATCTTTGCCAAGATCCCACTAATTGCTGCTGTCAAATTCCACTGCCAGGTGCTTCAAAGACATCCTCAGGTGCAGAACCACTTATCTGCTGAACAGAGTATTCTTTTAACTGCTTTACTTCCCTCAGTTACAGCAGCAAGAAAAAAGTTATTTCCTTTTTTTTGCTAATTGGTTTTTCCCCAAAATTCTTACACCAAGAAAAGAAGGTCTTATTTTTTTTACTTAGATCATGATTATTTGGTAATACTTAGATATCTTCTGTACAAAACTAGAACTGGAGTTTAAAAATACTTGTCAGTCTTTGGATACGTTTGATAGTGTTCACAGAGACCAGGAAGAACAAAGTTTTCAGTCCTCTCTCCCTGCATAGTGAAATGCCACTGAGGTTAAAAAGAGCTCTGCATGTGCAGGAAAATAAATACAGTGTTGAAGTGTAGGGCTCCAGGGTTAGTTAGCATGTTTAATTCCCCACTTTGACGTAATCTAATAAGAATATTTATAGATGTACAATCAAGAATTATACTGCCTTGTAAACGTCCCTATTGCCTTCAAAGGACTCTAAAGGTAATGCATATATACATGGTATATAAGTTTGGCTTCTGAAATATTTACAGATGGGCCTATGATCTACAAGACCTACTTGAAGACAGAGCACAGTGATGAAAATGTAGAATTCTGGCTTGCTTGCGAAGCTTTAAGATGATCATGTCACAGAGGAAAAGGATTTCTGTGGCCAGGAAGCTTTTTAAAAGTTACATTCAACCCCAGGCTCCCAACAAGGTGACACACAACTTGATGAGCTCTTTATTTTGTCTAATAGAAATGCCTGATGTGTAATGTAGCTGACAAAAAGCAACAACAAATGCCTAGCACCTCTTGCATTCAAGGGAGTGAAAACTCTTGCTATTCATTCTCCCCAAACTCTTTTGCACCCAGAATTTTAATACTTGCCTTCACATCTTGTCTATAGGCAAATCTTTCAACTATATCCACCAAGGATACAAGCAAAAGGCACAATTAGGTTAAGAATCAAGTTCTTGGATCTGTTCTATTCTTTCTAGCGACTGATCCAGGGGACATTGATATCCCTTCAGTAGATTTTTGTATTATGCCATTGCTACGTGTATATATTACTCTGGTCTTTGCAAGAGTAAATATAAATGAACAAAGTAAAAACTCTACCCAGTGCTGTCCCCTTTGTAAAACGGGCTAAAAGAAAGGTTCCAAGACAGATTAATTGTTTTCTGCTTCCAGCAGCACAAGATTTAGGGAAAACAAAGCAGATTTGTATGTAACATATTTGAGTGATTTTTTTCTGACAAGTGGCTATACAAAACAAATGTCATTCCTGCCCAGCCAGTCATGCTCTATGACCTTTAACTATCCCTGCTTATTACTCTCCTTGCAAAAATAAGCTAATACTAGCTTTTCCTGCCGCTGCCTCTGGCAGACTGACATAACTGAAAAAATCAGGCTAGATTATTTTCTGGTTTACGTATAACAATAAAACTATTATAGAGTCTCAAAATGCAGCCTCCCTGTTGACGCTGAAGGGCAAGCCAAAACCAACTCAGCTGGATTCCCAAGTGTTGGCCAAGAGCAGCTGCTGCTTTAAATGACTAAACCACTCCCACTAATCCAATACTTGAGGAAATCTGAAAGTTCCCTCTGTTGGTTTTAAATGCCAGTTGGAAAAACAGTGCATTTTTCTGTCTTTCTGATTTATTTTATTTTTAGCATGTGCAGCTATAGGAAACTCAGCAAGACATTTGCATTTCCAAAAGAGAAATGTCAGTATTGCCAACCACAAATTCATTAATCAAAAGTAAGGGCTTAAATCAGGACAGTTAAAAATAAAATGTGTAATTTTTTTTTCCTAAAATAGTATGTATTTGAACCTTGCTATTGGCTGTCTGGTTTCTAGGTCTTCAGGAGACACTGATTTCACGTTTTCTTGATATTCATTATTAACACAAGAACTAGGTACCACTCTAAAAAGGTAGATGCTCATGAGGATTTTAAACACAGTTTATATTCAAATTTCAGTAGCATTTAAAGAGGTGCAACTCAAGTGACTCCTCTGGAAGAGCAAGATCCCAACCCATGAAAGACATCAGCACTAACTTCACTTCTTTAGAGCTCTCCTCTTAACACTAACAAAGTCAAGCTGAAAAAAAGCAATGTAATTCATCATGAGCTAATGGATTATCAAAAGTTCCTATTTTATCTGGTAAATTTTCCTATCGCTAGACTTTTCTACTCTTACACACCCACAGAGCTTCAACTTATCTGCTACAAACCCTGGATTACAGCAGAAGAGCTCTAGGAATCCAAACTTTTCCTAAACAAGGTTGATATATGGGCTCAGTTTTATCTTATCTCGGAGATCCAGCCACTTGGATTCATTAGAAAGCAAAAGTCAGGCTTCCTCTTCAGGGATCTAATAGTAGCTCTAGGAACAATTCTTAGCAAAAGAAAGGGGGTTTGGATGTCAGCACCTTCCAAATACTCCTTCCACTGTAGCCACTCCACGCAAACCATGTCCTCAGGACTTCTTCCTCTGCCTAAATCATACATACGTTCTTATTCTTTCTAGAAGTAGCGAGCAAATCAAACATACTGCTCAACCTCCCTAAGGTTTGAAGTCTTAGGCCCATATGCTACACATGGGCCCAGCAGTAGTGACTTTACCACTGCTCTTGACCTCCATTGATCACAATAGTCAGGATTAAACTGGCTTTTCCATTAAGGATGTGGGGCAGACTGGGAAATTCAGACACCTCCCAGTCTTCCAGGCTTCTTGTCCCCAAGGGAGCAAGCTCCCCATCCAGCCACTAACACACCTCTTACTAAATCAAACACCAAAAAAGGAGCAAATTGGTCAACTAATAAGACAGGGTTTTCTGGCATTATAAGGAGAAATCCACTCTGCTAGAATCAATGTTTCTGGTTAGGTGCTGGTTTTAGATTAGAGGGTATATAAAAAGATATAAATAAAAGGCGTTCAGTACAGGTCCCCTAAATTCAATCTTCCTTCCCCTTGCTTTGCATATATTCAGTGCTACTTTAGTAATGTTGTTTTCTGTTTCAGATTAACATTGACAGTCCTGCGAGGAAAGCAATGATAAAGAATATTCAAGAGCCAACACAGTCCTGTTTTGATGAAGCACAGAGAATAATTTACATGCACATGGAAAGAGATTCTTATCCACGATTTCTTGAATTGAAGTTCTATCAAGAACTCAAACACAGCCTTCAAACTAATGGCAATATTTCAATGGTAAATTAAAGAGAAAGGTTGAAAATTTAGAAAGGTTTCTTCTGGCATGCAAGTGTTTAAGATTTAAAGTAGACAGGAGAAATCAGGTAGTAGACAAATATTATTACTCATCTGCTAAACTGTTCTGCTGATGTTAGAATTTATGAGGCACTATCTTCCCCCTTCCCTTTCTTTTCACATGGAAGAGTTCCGTTTTTGTTTCCCTCTCCCCTCAATAAAACCCTAAAAACTAGGGAAAACTAGGTATAAAAAAGTTTCAGCCAAAAATGATAGCCTAAGGTTCAGGTCTTTTATTGATATTTGACAACTCTAATAACATATTTTTCAGTACTCTTGTTTTGAGAGATCTGAAATAAAATAGTTTTGCTGCTAGGAAATAAATGTTTATTTGGCTATACATAACAGAAGAAGAAAATAAATGCAGCAATGCAGGTTTTTTTGGTTGTTGCTTTATTCCTATATTCTTTCAAAGTAAAAGATATATTATGAAGTACAGCTGTTTGCTTAATCTTAAGCTATGAAGTGTAGCATTCATATGGTGTAGAGTCGATTTTATGCTGAATTATGATGTACAACCTATGCTATAAAGGTACTTGGTCTACAGTATGCTATAATACTACCAGTGTGTCCTGAATTTTGCTCCGGTGATAAAAAACTCATTAGTATTTTGTCTTTTTTTCTGGGTATGGACACAAATATATTGCTTTCCCTTCAGGCACCCTAATAATTAGAAACAAGCAGACCTGACATTTGAACATCATACTGTAACACAAACAGGTCTCTCTCATGCATGAACTGTAAAAGACAACTTGCCGATTCATTGATCAAGTATTGAAGTACTCTGGTTTACATTCAAAAACCAATCTGACTTCTCAAATCTCATTAAAACCAGAATCTCTTAATTCTTTTAATGGACTTCAGCATAGACACTAAAAACCGTAGGAAATCAGGGACCTTTCTAGCATCCTCTCAAGCTGCATTATTCCAAGGAATACAAAGAACAAGTCATTCTGACAGCAGCCCTATACACCCCGATAGCATCACACTGATCCCTGGGATGATTTCACAGAAGTGAAGCATTAATTCAGTTGGATACATTTATTTGACTGAGGTTACTTCAATCATGTTGCCAGTTCATGCTTTTTAACAGTTTACTTTAAGCTGTAACTTGGCTGCCTAGTTTAAAAAGGCAATTTTTGTGACAGTGTAATAAATCATTGTCTCACCTCTGTTGGGAAAGCCTAGTCTTTCTACTGGAGGCTCACAGCACTTCATTGTGCCGCTTACTTAACTACAGTAAGTTTTTGTTCTCACTGAGAACCTCCCTTATTTTTTCAATGTGAATGTCTAAGCCTTTTCCTTACAAGGCAAGCATGAAAACACAGGTCAGTGCAGACAGTGAACAAACAACTGGGTTTCACTTTTGTGGCATCTATCTTGTAGTGAGGAGAAACTATAGTTGTTCTTTTAAGATGTTCCTCTTGCCAGTGTAATAAGTTATTATATGTGAATATATTTTAAGGTAGAGTCTCAATCTCTCCTGAAAAAAAAAAATCATTGTTTAGGGCCTCTGAGCAGTGGTATTATTGTGGTGCACAATATAGGTTACATTTGGGAAGAGGGACAGTGATTTACTGATGACAGATAAGTATGTTTATCAACAGCTACCAAATGTATAATATGAAGTTATATTGGTAAATTGTATATGTATGCTCTAATGCAGACACATGAACTACGGTATGTTATATAAGTGATCATGTTGTAACTTATCATCAGTTATCTAAGGCTCCACAAATTCTTTTTGTCCATTTTTATGAAATTCTCAAGCTAGAATTTATGTACATGTCTAAAGCAGAATACAAAGCAAGTTTGAGCATAATCTACACTAGTACAGAAAGCTTTAAGGTAACTTCAGTGTTGTAAGAAAAGAAATTGTTAGTATAGGGGATAATCCTTTCCTTTTGCACTGGCCCCATGTAAAAAGATTATCATACAAATGTGCAAATATTCAGCTTGTAAAACCACTCTCGACAAGCAAGGACTCCATAGGAAATCCAGTTGGGGATAGTATAGCTTTTGCTGCTGTTAGCTTCTGATGTGTGTACAGTGTGTTGGACTTTGGCTTGATCGACCCTGCAGATGCCACAGCCTCACGGCAAAGAAAAACTGTAGGAACTATTAAAAAGCAATTCCTGCAGGGAAGTAGATCTGTGACATAAACCGGCCTAAGCAGAGGAAAAAACAAACAAGGGACTACACTGTGAAAAGCCATCCCCATTTCTGTTAGGATTAGAAATTCAGAAGAGGTAGATATTGGTCTCTGAGTGGAATAGGCTTGTAATGACCAAGGATAATACCTCTCCGTATCCAGAACAGGCTTAGCATGCAGTCTTCTGAAGGGGTTACACAAAAAGGCTGGTCAGGTAGTGTGTTGATAGACGGAACCTTTCTCCCTGCAGAAAGGGGATTATCCAGAAGGAGGAAAAAAAGATCAGCCAAAGAATGCTCAGAGAAATCATAGAGGGACTCACAAACACATTTTTATGGCATGAGATGTTTAGCATTTATTCTGCTAACAGGTCATGAGTCTAGCAACCCTTATGGCTGGAGGGCTTATTTCTAGAAGGAAATATGAAGTTAATAACTAAAAGCTTTTTTTTTTTAAACTAGAAGAGAGGGTCCTGTCCTTTTCCTTTTCCCAAAACAGATTTATTGTTAACTGGTAGAGATCTTTCTCTTGCTTGATTTTTCTTTTGTGTTACCAGATGCATGACAACAACAGTGTATTTCATCAGGACACATGATTCATAAAACAGTAACTAATGGCAGCAGCAATAACAAATCACTGCTTTTAACATTTTCATTAACAGCACTTGAATGAGCTCAAGTATACTTTCCACTGGCAGACAATACTAAAAGGCATTTGCTCACATTAATCATTCAAAGCTACTGTTAAGAAAGATAAAAAACTTTAAAATAGCTAAATTGGCAGAATTCTCTCTCATTTTTCCCTCATTTACTTAAGAAGAATAGAAAAAAAATTAAAAAATCAAAAACAATGGCAATTCTTCAAACACATTAAATCTGGCAAGATAAAATATAGATTAAATAAAACCACTATATCACTTAACTGTATCCAACCTTGGAAACTGTTGACCTATTGAGGCTCCCTAGAAAACCCAAAACATACTGGACAGATGGTCTGGTTTGGTTTTTTTTGTTTGGTCAGTTTGTTTTAAAAAGAGCTGACAATTAGATCATTTTCACTTTGTAAATATGAGCTGTGTTGGCCTACTTTCTTGATAAAAGTGATGAAATTCATACTCTATTGTTATACTGCTGTTTTCATGAGTTTTAAATCCACTCTTGGTGTCTAGGTGATAAGTGTAGAATAACAAATGCAGATTGCATATCAGGTCTAAAAAACAAAGTAAAAAAATCTACTTATAATTAGTCAAAACAAAACTGTAAGAATAGCCTAATTTTTCTGTACAGATGGGTGGTAAATGAGAATATATAATGTCTCTCCATTGTATGATCAAAACCCTTCAGAGAATAAGTTGTCAGGAGGCTTTTCTCTCAAGTTCTCTCAATTATTTTGCATTTCCATATTAACTCTAGATATTTCTGCTTTTAAATCCCAAGAAATAAACTATAGTTAGTCTCACTCCAAGCATAGTAATGAAGTAATATCCAGAACCTGGTACTATAGACAACTGATTTGAACAAATATTATGAGCAGAGATGTTTATCACTAATTACAGTGCAGATGGGGATGTTTAGGAACATACAACCTCAGAGGAAAGGGAAATGACTGTAGCATTTCCAAGCATTGCCAAATATACAGCACTGTCACAATCATAGGTCCCTTCAGAAACTGATGTTTGGTCTAATGTTCGCTAAACACAGGGGAAAGAGCGCAATGGAAGAAGTCTTCCAAAAAGAACGTTCTACTGCACATGTCAATTAGCTGGATTACGTGGCTACAGAGCTTTTCAGGGCAAAAACTGCATCCTAACACAGGCTTGCCTACAGTCTCCTACAGCAAAGCTTCACAATGGCAGTAACCCCTCTTGGTAGAATTACCCATTTAATAAGTTGTCAGTAACACAGTAACCGTACAGCTTTGAGGTGTTTTGATTTCAAAATCTTAAATTTCAAACTCTAAAAAATTTTAGAAAAATAAAAAAAATAAAAATGCAAATTTAAAATAGCTGCCCCATTTCATGGCCTGATTATAATACACAAAGGATTCTAACTTTTTTCTTTAGATGAAAAGAAAAAAAAACAAACAGGTGCAACAACATAGAAAGATAAAAAACACAAGAGGAGCAAATTACATATTGGGGAAGCAAATCATGTAGCCAAGCACTCTTTTAGACATTATACACCATAGGTGTGCAGATTCTAAGAACTATGAATTCTCATCACACTGGCAGCAAGATATCAGCCACTGCAGCCAAATTGTGCAATTGGTACTTTAGGCAGGAACGTAAATTAGTAAGAGCACGATAGCATCATATTATGGATTCCAGGCAGTGTCTTTCCACTGATTTTAATGTGTCTGCATACCCTTATAGAAACAGTGACATGAAGTGAGACATCTTGAAGTATACTGCAAATGGCCAGCATTGAGTACATATACATTCTGTCTTGACTCAGTTGCATAAACACTTTATAGTATGTAGTGCCCCTGGGCTGAGACTTCCCCTGGGGCTGGTAGATCTGGCGCGGGTAGGTGGACATACTTCCCATTCCCTGCTGCAGTGGCAAATGGAGGCCACAAGTATCTTAGAGCATCTCAGTAGGACTAGATGTCTGTGTTTACACATCTGAATCAAGCCTGCTTTCTTAACTATATTAGCTAAAGGTTTCACATTTGCTAGCTTTTTTTACCCACCCCGGCATCTTAAACTATTTACTGAAAAGCTGTTTTGTCTATGACTTTATTTTCCCTCCAAAATTGCTATCACAATTATCTCAAGATGACCATGTTTATA